GGGCCTCCACCACCATGGCAAGGAATGGTAAGACTGACTGTATTCACTGGGTTTTTCTGTATCCTTTGCTCTGGTTATCAGTGTGTTTCAATCCTGACACTTTGTTTTATCTGAAGGCCCCATACCCTGGAATGGAGCATCCTCCCCAGCACCCGTACTACCAGCATCATCCTCCTCCACCCCAGGCCCACCCTCCTTACTCCGGACACCATCCCATGCCCCACGATGCCCGCTTCAGGGAAAAGAGGGTATTATAAATTATACTCAACTATTAAAGGTGGTATTTTATTTTTTCTAATGAAAGAGTGCATTGAAGGAAACAAACTATTTATGGTTATTTGTTGAATATTTAGAACAATTGAAATCAAAGCTTTCTTGAAATGAAGACGTCTTGTGTAAAAAGTCGTTTCAGATTTATTGTAAAAAGCAAGTTTCCTAAAAAAATAGAAAATAACTTTCATTTTTTGCAAACAAAATGTAGCATCATCCTCCTCCACCCCAGGCCCACCCTCCTTACTCCGGACACCATCCCATGCCCCACGATGCCCGCTTCAGGGAAAAGAGGGTCGTTCGCTCTTTCGCCTCCAGTTTGGTAATGTTTAGCCACTTAAAACAGCTCAAACACTACCATAGCGTAGAACTGGGCGATATGACCTAAAATCAAAACCAAAAATAGAAAATAACTTTCATTTTTTGCAAACAAAATGTTGTCAAAAGTAGAAAATAACCAGCATCTCTTGCAAACAAAATACATTTTAAATATTGTCATGCAAAAAGTAGAAAATAACTTGTATCTCTTGTAAATCAATATTATTTTAAATGCTGCAATGTGAAAAGCAAAAAATAACTTGCATCTCCTGTAAACAAATGTTTTAAATAATGAATGTAAATAGAACACTGCTGATTAAGAGAAAGGGCAGGGCACTATCTTAGTGATTTTGTCCTGTCACTCTACATGTTTAAGTATTTACTCTAGATTCTTACTGGCCATTCACACAGAACACGTCTTTGTGTTGAAAACCATAGATGTATATACGTAGTGCCTCATTAGAGACTGTTTCTATGGGTCACGGTACGTAAGCCATCTGCCATTTTTGGAATGGTCTGTGAACCCTCGAGCGAAAGTTGACTGTGTGCGTCTACAACAGCAAGTTATACTCGTGTATATCTTTGAATATTGATTGATTATTATGGAGAATGACGTCAAGTTGACGTTCCAAAAACGCGTCAATGTATCTGGAGCGGTCGAATGTGGAATCTATACATATCTATGTCTAAAACCGCGAGCTTAGCGCTTAGAATTGGTTTAAAAACAAAATGCAGCGCAGAATGCCATGCCAACCTGCTACTGTAAACAAAAACATTTGCCCCGCCTCCGGGGTCTTCTGATTGGTCCACTGTTTTGGAGTGTAAAAGTTTTAAATTCTTTTAGTGCGTCGATCACGTGTGAGACGCTGCTAAAGTTCGTGAATGTGATGGTCATACACGTCCGTATAGCGCCGACTACTCATGCAGTGGTATGTTTTTAAGAGGAAAGTAGTAATGGGATTAAAAAACCAAAATAACCGACATGAGAAAATTACATTGGTTAGAGTTTCGATATTTCGGTTTCGATTTCTTTTCTGTTAATCGTCCAGCCCTACCATAGCATTGATTAGCTGAAAAAACCTGTTCCAAAAACTGCATTTCCAAAAATGTGTTTCTTGATGTTAAGTGTCTGATTACTCATTCAATCTTTAAAACTTTTGTTTGGTAGCATGACTATGACATGCGAGTGGATGATTTCCTGAGACGAACGCAGGCGGTGGTGAGTGGACGCAGGAGCCGACCACGTGAGCGGGACCGACAGAGAGAGCGCGACCGGCCACGGGACGGGCGTCGTGACCGAGAACGAGAGCGTGGCAGAGAACGGGACCGTGAGAGAGAGCGAATTCGAGACCGTGAGAGGGAGAAGGAGAGGGGCCGATACCAGAGATAGGGGAAAATAGTTTTAAACCTATTTTTTCCATTTGTTTTTTCCCCCCTTTTCATTTTGTAGATTTTGTTAATTTCTTTTTCTTTTTTTTTAATACAGTTGAAGTTCATCATAAAGCTGAACTGAATATTTCTGGGCATTTTGTAAAAGAAAACATTTTTTCTCAATCTCATGCCATTGTTAGCATCATGCATGCAATGCAGTGCATTTAAAATTTAACTGTGAAAACCAAAAAGCATTTTTACCCTCAATTATTTTTATTTTCTATTTTTAATCATTGGTTCTGTAGCTGATCCTGCAATGTTGAGAAGGAGCTTCTTTTCCCTGTGTATGCTTTTTTTTTTTCTTTTTCTCCCCCCACTTTAGATTGTGAGCCAGACTGTGCGTTCCTTACATGGCTGTTGCAGTTTTTAGGTGTTTGCTAACTCTGCGCTTGTCTTTGTGATTTCTGTTGAACATTTAAATAAGGTCATAGGTGCCAGTATTCCAAGGCACTGCTAAATATGACAATGTTGTATCAAGTATGTTTCTATAGCTTTGTCTGCAACCAGGCTTGTTTTTCTAGAGACGTGGGTAAATATTCCCACATTTGCTTCTTGTCTAGTAAAAAGATAAATGTCATGAAGGTTTGTAAATTGACTTAAGTCATCTGTTGTTGGAGTATCTGTTGGATACTATATGGATACATTTTGTACAAAACAAAAAAATAAAAGAAAGTGAATTGCTGGTGTTTTGTATTTGTGAATAGTGCAGTCACTTTAAATAAAAATAAACCTCATAATAATTAATACTTAAAAACAATACATTCGTTCAGGAAAGGGAATCGGCTCCAAGGCTGCTTTTGACCCCATTTTATTTACATTTAAAAGTGGCACTACAAAATGTATATGTTCCCCCCATTCTGATCAGAGCTTCTGAGAAATGGTTTCCTTTTTTTTCCTGAGTAACCTAATGGATGAAACATGTTGCCCTTATGTAGTGATTTTTTTGTTGAATATTTTTGTAAAAACAGATACACTGTATTCTACAGATCCTACATGATTTGTAAATGGATAATGGTTTAACCAACACCAGAAAGAGCAATTCAATGCAGGGGTTTTCTTCAGGAGTTAATTCAGAGACGTTCCCTTGAGAATTTATGAATGTGAGTTAACAAATCTTTAGCCATCCACTAGGGGGCAATCTGACTCCCACTGCTAGTCGACAGCAGAGTTGGCTCGAGTATGAGTCACGCTCAATATTGCAAAGTCCACGGTTTAACCTAAAAAGGTCCTAAAAGGTTGAAAACCCCTGATTTAGTGTGTTTTGGAGGCATCAGCTCTCGTTTCATTTAAAGATATGTCTATTTTGATTGCATCATATAATAATTGCTGTTAATAGTGTTCATCATCTGTTTGATTGCGTCTTTAATTGATTTTTCCGTACATTTCTGCCATATGTACATTAACTGACAGTCACCACTGATAAGCTACCACTAAATATTGTAGAAATTTAATTTGCTGTAAAGTTGCTTTGCAATGATTTGTATTGTGAAAAGCGCTGTACAAATAAACTAGAACTAGAACTTATTATACATAAGTGGCATGTGGTGCCTTCTTTTTTGTAGCTTACACCAGGAGCCTCATTTATGAAGTGTTGCATAGAAATCGACCGTCCTGTTCCTCAAATGTGCACGTGTAATTCAAAGACACTAACATGCACAAATAAGTGCATACGCCTCCTTTCCAGAATTGAAAACTATAAATCGCAGATGATCTGGAAATTGTGCGCAGCTAAAAGGATTCAGATTTCTGTCTTGTAAATTCCATTAGCATATAAAAGCACACCAGTCAAAGTCCAAATCCTTTACTTGAGAATGGGGAGCGAAAGGAATTTCTATATTGCCTAAAATATCTAGGTTTTGGCTTTGTTTGCGTGTGCAGACCAATCGGTGTATGACACCCTACCATACTCCCGTAGTGCCCCCTAAAAGACATGCCTAGGCATGCAGTTGTTAGCCTTCTCCAAGCCCACAAGACTCAAGTAGACTGGATAAGGAAACTCCCATACCTCTCCAGAATCCTTGTTAGGGTATAAAGTTTGTCCACTGTTCCACATATAGGATGGAATCCACATTGTTCTTGCAGCACTCTGGCATAGGCTGAGAAGTGTGATCCCTTGATTATTGGAACATCCTCCAGTCATCTGCATCCAAGGTCCACATGGGCCCCCTCTCCAGCTGCAACCCATTGTGTAATAAGTGGCAAGTCCCCAAGGATGTGGCCCATGTTGCTGTTTCGGGTTCAAACTGGCTACCAGGTTTTCTCCCAGACCTGCCTCCAGGAGAGGACCCTGGTATCCCTACTGTCATCAAGGTTCCACTCTCTTTCCTGGTCATAAGCGACAGTGTTGGATCACTCTTTGTCTGGCCTCTAACCTGGGACCAATTTGCTTAGAGATCCCTACCAGGAGGCAATGCTCCAGACAAGTTCCCAGGGTTGCTGAGGCACTCAAACCACTCAACTACAATATGTTTATTTAATTTTGGCAAATTAGTGTGCTATCAGTTGCTATCATTAAAATGTATATATCAGTAATACGTCAGCAATTACAAAATTATATTCATAAGAAAGAAGAGCCTAAATCAGGGGTGCCCAAACTCGGTCCTGGAGGGCCGGTGTCCTGCAGAGTTTAGCTCCAACTTGCCTCAACACATCTGCCGGGAAGTTTCTAGTATGCCTAGTAAGAGCTTGATTAGCTGGTTCAGGTGTGTCTGATTGGGGTTGGAGCTAAACTCTGCAGGACACCAGCCCTCCAGGACTGAGTTTGGGCACCCCTGGCCTAAATAGTTCACACAGGAGTTTATTATTCAATTAAAAAAATACATATCAGTACCCAGGACAATGCACAGCAGCAGTTTATTTACACATTCTCAAATCAAATTTTAAACTACCCTCTTTACAGGACAGATAATTTACATCAGTGGTCTCAAACTCAATTCTCGGAGGCCCACAGCTCTGCAGAGTTTAGCTCCAACTCACACCTGCTTGGAAGTTTCTAATGATCCTGAAGACCTTGATTAGCTGGATCAGGTGTGTTTGATTAGGGTTGGAGCCAAGCTGTGCAGAGCTGAAACCCTCCAGGAATTGATTATGAGACCAATGATTTACATTAATAAAACAAATCTCGTCACCACATTAATATTTCTTTTGTTTTCAATGTTCTCTTAGTGTTACAAAGGCAGTCAATGTCTGCAGACTTTTAAGGAACACTGAAACATTTTCCATAGGGGTTTACTATCGACTTTGTAGTAGCTTAGGGTAACTGCAATGACCCATACATATTAACTGGAGTATAACTAAATACTTGAACTCCCATGATGCTTCAGTAAACTTGAATGACATCATCCCATTCCCTCACAGGCCACACACCATTCTCCTGTACGTTGAACGGAGAGGTCTTCCAGTCCCAGGTTTTCACAGGAACATTCCAGTTAGGTCCATAGTTGGCCATCACATAGTCCCCGGTTTCGCAGGGAACTCTGACCTTTAGCTCCATCAGCTCAGTCCAACACAGACTGAATCGTGGGAACACATATCTGTCAGGAAACAATACAAATAAAAGCAGATATTTAAAGAAAAAAAACAGAATTTCCCTGAGTATTAACTAGTGCCACCCATTGAGTTCTAACAACGTTTTGCAACAGACACTGGGGTTCCAGAACATGTGTGACATGTGACTAAACGACCAACACAGCTAAATTAGAAAGATCTTGTTGATACATTTTTTGAGTGTCATGAGGTTAGTGCTAAACTTTGTGTTTGTAGAAACAGCAACCAGACTTTGTATGCTTTTATTTAAAGGGCAGGGCAACTCTGCAACCCATACATCCAGCCTCATCTTCTGAAATGAACAATTTCGAGTTGTAACACAGATGTTCACCTACTTTTTCCAGCTTGCCCTATCAAAGATCAGGTCTTAAATACAATTTTGAAAAATTTAACTTTTATATTGTGTTTGACTCTTAACTGTGAGTTAAATTAAGATCAGACCATACTTTTTGAGTGCAGAAATCCAGATGCTGTCAAAGGGTTCACAAACTTATTCTTCCCACTGCATATGTCAATTACTTATATCTTCGAAACAATTCAATAAATCAAAATTCATCTGAAATCTTTGTTATGAGACAAAGATGTAAGATAAAGATAAATGATTCCCTGAAAAATTTTGTGAGAATCGGACAAATGGCCTTGAAAAAGTTAGAAAAGGCATTTTGTTATTCAAAATTACCAACAAGCAATCAGAAAACATTGATGATTTTCACAAAGTTCCAGAAAAAAAAAATAAACCAGACCGCAAACCCTTGCAGTGAATAGTAGAGGTCTTCATGCGTCCACTTGGATCTGAAAAACCCGAGGTCTGACCCGAGAAGGTTTGGGTCCAAAACTTCCACGGGGTCGGGTTCGGTATTAGTGGCCTTGGGTCTTGGTTAATTTAAAATAAATGCGCTTTTTCCAAATGGACCAGATAAGGCCTGAATTATTTTAAAGGGGTCCTATTATGCTTTTTCACTTTTTTAAATGAAACACTGTCTAAGCTGTTTGCCAATCACAACGCACTGGGACAGCTAACCAATCACAACACATTTTGTTTTTCGGAAGGCGGACCTTCATCAAAGCCGGAACTAATCGAGCCAGGCTTGTGCCAGGCTGGGGAGAAAGGTATTTTAATAATGTAAATTATGTGAAAAATAAATACGTTTTTCGAAAACAAAATCAAGACTTTGTAAAAGAGCATAATAGGACCCCTTTAAACCATCCCGGATGGCCAGCAGCAACTGAGATTTTAGCAGAAATACATAGGTAGTGGGCCTGGCGTAGTACATTACCGACCCCCTCCGTTTGCCTAACCAAGCCATCATGTGGCTGGATGGCATTTTACTGACATTTCAGCACTTCAGTGTGTACTTGCAGGTTCATGTTAAGTGCATTTTTGAGAACAAACGTTTGTGACCTTGCACACAGAAATCCATCTTATAGATATGAGATCCATCAGAAAAAGCCACTCGCTTCATGTTCATGTAGGGCTTTTTTGTGTGCACAAGCCCTTCGCCGAATATGAGGTAAATAGAGTTGCAGACAACACTAGTGAATCCATGATTTTATCGAGCGATCACGTTTATTTCTCCAATCCACTGGTCACAACTGAAAGGTGAACCCAAGAAATAACTTGTATCCATCAGGAAGGCAATAATATAAAGAAATAATAAATAAATAAATAAATGAAAGTAATGGAGCAGCGGCCAAATCAGTCAGCAGGACACCAGGGTTTTTTCCTCGCAGGCTGCAGGCTGTGCACACAGCAATGCCATTTACCTCCAGGTCCAGTCGGATTAGAAAATAAATGGAGTCGGGGTCAGGTCAGACTTGGGTTCAATTTTATCAGGTCTGTCTCAGGTCGGCATTTTCTTTTAAAACAATAATTTATGCACGTTGAGTTCGGGTAAGAAGTGATTCGGGTCGAGTACAGATTTTAGAAAATGAGAAGACAATAAAACAAATAAGACATACATTTAAAGAAATTGTAAAACCTCTCTTATCTCTACACAGAGGACAACTGACAGGTTAGTAGGTGGTCTTTCACTGCTGACCTGAAATTGACAGTGATAACCGCAATGGATGAGACAAAACATCTACCAAGCCTATGTCAAAATAGACCTATGCATGAGACTTACAGCTGCTATACTTCATACATCAGTACAATAAAAATACTTTAAATTATTATAATAGTCATTTTATGAACTAAGCCTGGAACAAAAAAGAAAGGTGAAAAAACCTATATTAGGGAGTGGTAATGGCAAATGAGCTGATGAATGATCCTCTGCAGCCATCTACTGTTTTAGTGGTAATTTCATGTCATTTTCACAACCTTTTTTCACCCCTGAAGAGTTTGCATCCCTGATTGAAAGCAAATGTTTAATTGATAATAGAGAACTCTCTAATACTCACTTGAATTTTTTGCCACTCTTTGCCTGTGTGCCTCCATTCCAGGCAATGTCACCTTCATCATAAAAAAAGAAAATGTCCAGTTTCACATCATTTCCCTGAAAGGAGAGCTCCAAACTATCCTCAACCTGAAATTTAAATAAAAGAAGGGTGAAAATATGTCAGCAAATGTCTGGGCCTTGATTTATCCTTAAATCAATTCATCGATCCTACTTTAGTGATCAAGTTTTTCCATTGTAATATAACTTTGACAGTTAAACGCAGCCCAGGCAGGAACCTATTATAATGCATTACTCATCATTACTGTAACATTAAAAAGGCATATCATCTAGCATAAATTTGTAAGTATATATTGACAATTTAATGTATGTGAACTGAACTGAATGTATTCTCATTAAAAACGTAAAGACAGGAAGACTCATTATTTTAGTAATTACTAATTAGAACGTTGTTTTTGCATTACAGTAAAGAGAATTTGGAGGGAAAATGTGCTTAAAGGGATAGTTCACCCAAAAATAAAAATGCTGTCATTAATTACTCACCCTCATGTTGTTCCAAACCCGTGTGACCTTCGTTCATCTTCAGAACACAAATTAAAGGTAGGGTATGTCATTTTTCAAAAACACTTTAGAAAACTGATTCGGGCCGAATAGCAAAACAAACTTGTAGCCAATCAGCAATAAGGGGCGTGTCTACTCGTGATGTGGAGGAGAGAGCTTTCAGTGCATAGGACGGACATTAGCTGAGCCGAGCGACGGAAAGATAGAGATGGCGGATAAAAAACAAAAGAGGAAAACGAGGTCGTGTTTGTTTTGGTGATTTCAAATATCAACATTGGCTACCAGAAATCGCTTACCCTGCCTTTAAGATATTTTTGATGAAATCCAAGAGCTTTCTGACCCTCCATGGACAGTAAGGGTACTACCACGATCAAGGCACAGAAATGTAGCAAGGAGATCATGGGTCTTACAGCAGTGGTCTCAAACTCAATTCCTGGAGGGCCACAGCTCTGCAGAGTTTAGCTCCAAATCACACCTGCTTGGAAGTTTCTAGCAATCCAGGGGCCTGTTTCATAAAAGAAGTTTACCAAATAAGCCAGGCTTATTTCAGTTAGTCTGACTTATTTTTAACTAAATCAGCTGACAATAAGTCAGACTAACTGAAACTGTTTTATGAAACAGGCCCCTGAAGACCTTGATTAGCTGGATCAGGTGTGTTTGATTAGGGTTGGAGCTAAACTGTGCAGAGCGGAGGCCCTCCAGGAATTGAGTTTGAGACCAATGTCTTACGGGTTTGTATCGACATGAGGGTGAGTAATTAATGACAGAATTTTCATTTTTAGGTAAACTATCCCTTTAATTGTCAAAAATCATCATATGACTAATCTTGTTATCTTCAAAACTGAAAATCAGTTCTATAAATATCTTGCTGATGTAATATAGTAATGACAATGCCTTACATATGAAATAATTGAATGAATTCATGAATACGTATTTATACACACAATGTAACTTTACAGTAAATTTATATATATTCTGTCATGTGAATAGTTTCGGTTGGTTAATAGTTACTATAAAACTATAATTGTGAAAATTGTGAGTTTAGGATTAAATTGATCTTGGTTTACAGTAAAATTAAAAACAAAATTTTAAAACAGATTTAAACATTTTTAAAGTCTAGTGTAGCATAATTAGAAAAACCTTGATTTAAATTAGGTTTAAAATCTTTATTAGTACAACCCATTCATAGAATTCTTACTGACCAAATATACAAATTTATAGGACAGCAACAGTGTTAAAAAAAAAAAAAGATTTCCAACGAGTCAATGTCCAATAAGCCAATGCACTAATTTCTGTTTTATTTTTAGAATTCAAGTCTACCTGTCATGGTACTGCCCCATTGACAAGCTATTTCTGCACAGTTGCATAATTACGTCCTGTGCTTACAGTGTTTCTATGATGAGTCCATCCAAATCACCCAATATTTAATTTTTGGAGATTGAGATGGATTGTTTCTGCAATTCTGAACAAGTTTTAAAGCAAGGGAACTGACAAAGCATCCAGCAATGTTATTTTCCAGGTAATAAATCACCCTTTACCTTCCCAAACTTGTGTTTCAGTGGGAGACCAGCCTTCTGAAACGCCTGAGTGATGTCATGCCTGTAATCTTTAATCCAAACGCCCAGATCGACGTCTTTACTGTAAGGAATGATGTTACACTGCCTGTACCAACCTGTGGGACATGGGACAGAAGGAGTTAGATGGGAGTTATTCAATCTAATTACTCACTGAAGGTTGTTTTTGCTTAGTCTCCTCTTAAAATCTATGACAGCCCATAGAACCAATAGAAAAGTTATGAAGTTATGACGCAGGTCGAGGACAGCCTGAACATATTGCTAGGCATCGGAAATGCAAGTGCAAACGGGATTGCGCTTCCATTTGAATTTTGTGAGGGTTGGGGCAGAAGGCAGAGAAAGTGAAAGAGCAAATGGGTGACTTTCTATTGCTATTCCAAAATGACAGGGTCATAACTTGTAAGACTTTGGAAATCCAATTGCAAATGGACTTTGCGTTTCCTTTTGAAATATGGCAGACAAGTTAAATCCACAGGAAAGAAAATGGAAACAGAAATGCCTCATAATGCGTCAATATCATTCCATTATCATGCCATAAAAATTAAGCTTACAAAGATCAATATATAGGCTATGATCCATTATATTGTGAGTTTGAACTATGTGACCCTGGACCACAAAACCAGTCATAAGGGTAATTTTTTTTTTTAACTGAGATTTGATCTGAAGGTTTGATTTGAAGGTTCGTTAGGATAGGACAATATTTGGCCGAGATACAACTATTTGAACATCTGGAATCTGAAGGTGCAAAAAAATCTAAATATTGATAAAATCGCCTTTAAAGTTATCCAAATGAAGTTCTTAGCAATGCATATTACTAATCAAAAATTAAGTTTTGATATATTTACGGTAGGAAATTCACAAAATATCTTCACAGAACATGATCTTTACTTAACATCCTATTGATTTTTGGCATAAAAGAAAAATCGATTATTTTGACCCATACAATGTATTGTTGGCTATTGCTACAAATATACCCCAGCGACTTAAGACTGGTTTCGTGGTCCAGGGTCACATATCGATTGATGTAAGTCTCATATTTTCAGTGTTAGGGGTAACGCATTAAGAGTTACATAATCAGATTACTTTTTTCAAGTAACTAGTAAAGTAACGCATTACTTTTTTAATTTATAAGAGAATAACTGAGTTACTTTTTCAATTAAGTAACGGTAGTTTTCCCCTTTATTGACTGACAGCTCTTCTGTTGAGAGAAATCGGGAGTAAGAGCAGAGACGTTGTGTGTGCTGTGTAAACATGTTACTGTAGTTCTAGACTAAATGTGAACATGCATTTACTCGCCTCACTTACCCAAAAACAGATTCATTATTCCTCAAATTGAATAAAAACTGAAATATAACGCAAACCTACAATAATTAAATATGTTAACATAAATATCCTTTATGTAATATAATATCATTTAATAAACCAATATCTTTGTTACCATCTGAGAATCCAATTCAACCATACTAATAAGCAAAAATGACTTTAGATAAAAATAACATTTGTTTCATTTTTTTTTTTTATTATGGCTGAATGAACATTCTTCGGCCCCACTTTATATTAAGTGGCCTTAACTACTATGTACTTACATCAAAAATTAAGTACAATGTACTTATTGTGTTCATATTGTATTGCAAAACAGTTTTGCTGCTATTGAGGTGGGATACGAGTAAGGTTAGGGACAGGTTCGGTGGTATGGGTAGGTTTATGGGTGGGTTAAGGTGTAAGGGATGGGTCAACTGTGTAATTATAAATGTAATTAAAGAAATTAATTACAGATGTAATTACATGCAGGTATTTTTAAAATATAAGTACAATGTAAAACTATGTATGTACACAATAAGTGCATTGTACCAAATTATTAATTTAAATGTAAGTACATAGTTGTTAAGGCCACTTAATATAAAGTGGGTCCCATTCTTCTCCTACGTCTTATTCTTCATGCAATCCAGAATGGCAGCACAGCTGAAAGGTTTGTTTTAAATAAAAAGTAACCAAGTAATGTAATTAGTTACTTTTTTAGGGAGTAACGCAATACTGTAATGCATTACATTTAAAAGTAACTTTTTCCAACACTACATATGTTGAGAGCCTCTTACCAAGACAGGTTCCACTGCTGAGCCAGAACGGAACTCCAAGCACAGAGAGGACTTTAGAAGCAAGATGAAGCAGACTTTTAGCCCTCATCCTAAAGTCCATAGCCTCTGTAGAGGTGTCTTCTGGATACAGCTGCACAAAATTATTTTGACTCTGAGCCCAATATATATTCAATGCTTAAACCAGATAAAACAGTCCAATTAAGAGATTTAAACACCTACACATCTTGCTTTTATTTCCCATCAATCAACAGTACCTGGTAAAAGGCCTTGGCTTCTCTGCAGTGACACTCCAGAAAGCGACTGCTGGAATGCTCATGGAGGAAACCAGAGTAGTTTTTGGGGATTCTTACGTCAAGGCCATCAAGAGTGGTTAGAATGAGCTCTGGCCTGAAAAAAAGTCATGAAATTAAACAATGTATGTCAAATCTTAATTTCTTTCAATTTGTAAAATATTTTTGTGGAAACTGTGGAGAAATGTAGCATTGCATCACTTGCTCACCAATGGATCTTCTGCAGTGAATGGGTGCCGTCAGAATGAGAGTCCAAACAGCTGATAAAAACATCACAATAATCCACAAGTAATCCACACCACTCCAGTTCATCGAGTAATGTGTTTGTAAAACAAATCCATCAAGGCGTTTTAAACTTTAAATGGTCACGTCTGGCCACAATAGGCTTTCTCTAGTGAAAAGTCCATCCCCTGTTGTCCTCTCACATCAAAATCCAGCCACATATTTGTTTAGAGCTGTTTTGGCTTGTAAACGGTGCTTGATCTGTGCATATTTCTCTCCTGATTCAGATGGAATGACTTGAGAACGCAATATTATAGACAAAGGACTCTTAGCAACGGTTTGAAGATAAAATTGTCTTGATGAATTTGTTTCTTACACGCATCCTTTGGCTTCACAAGATGTTAATTGATGGACTGGAGTCGTGTGGATTACTTGTGGATTATTGTGATATTTTTCAGACATTTACTTCACTTGACATTTCTGTGTACATGCAATAATCATGGCGTCACCTGTCATAGGCCCCAGCATGACGGCCAAAGTCCAGTTTTCCGAAAGGGGCGAATGTCCTGTCCATACTGCTTCTCAGCCTGAGAGGGCCGTGCCAGAGGTACTTCCCACTGCGCTCGTATAGAACGACCACATGAACCAGACGGCTGTTAAAGCGGAACAGGAAGTGCAGTGGTATTTCTTTTGCTGTCAGATCATCCATGCTGATCAGTCTGGGGTCTTTCCCATGAATCTCCAGCAGCTCCAGACCTCGCTCCGCTGCTGCATCCAATAAAGCGGCCTGCATAAATATAGAGAAGTATTATTCTTGTGTTAAACTATTGTTAGAATGAACAATGTGTGTGTGGGGAAAAAGGTGAGGATCTAAGTCAAATCTTCCTTAAATGCTTAAAAGATGCCATTTTTTGCTGCTTCCACAATAATTCTATTGAATTCCTCACATCATATTTCCAGAGGTTTCCGAGAAGTGCAAAGGTGGTGAAGTCCCTGTGTGTGCAGAGGAAACTGCAGTGGGGCTCTTTCAGCTGACTGTCCCTGTAGAGAACTGCATCCTGGGACAGAAGGTTCAGAGATGCTGTGTCTACCAGAAACACAGGCAATTTAAACTTATGGACCAGCCCCAGGAACTTCTTCAGCAAATGCTAGATTTAAAAAAAAAAAAAAAAAACGAGACAAAATATTAGCAAATGACAGTCTCACATATCCGAGACTAAAACATTCTGTTGCCTTATTGACTGTAATGTTTGAAATTGTTAGCTAAAAGTGTGGTGAGTTTTCTAGCTTCAGAAGGCAGGAGTGAAGTAAACAGCCAACATAGTAATGAAGTTCAGAGTGCATTTTATACGGTAACAGGCAAATATGATTAGGCTAGGCAGATTTTAGTCAGACTAAGATAAAAAAAGAACTGACACAAAAAAAACATTTACATCCCAGATAGAGAATGTGACAGGTGTGTTATAAGGGCTCTGTGGCACATAAGAAGCGGTTCGATGCAGGTTGCTTGCTGTACTCACTTTATGAGGGACTTTTCTGGTTATATCATTTTTACTCTACTGTTCATTCTGTTTAGACTGCTGGGTCGGACGTATGTATATTCTTACTTCAGACTATATATTTGACTGAGATACCATGATTGTTTGTGGAGAATGGTGTGTATTCGGAATTGTTTATTGAATTTGTCTTGTTCTTTCATGTGTTTTATGTTTATTGTTGATTATAAAGTGCTTTGAGCTTCGGAAAAGCGCTATAAAAATAATTCTTATTATTATTATTATAAGGATGAAGTAGGTTGTTATATCCCTCTTCTCTCTCTCGCTGGTGAGCAGCAGCTACAACATTAACCTTAACCACACAGATTTAGAGCTGTAGACTAAACTTTTGATCATTAACATTAAAATTTCACTCACCCAATGTGCCTCTTTTCCGGACAGATATCCTTTACTGCTCAATGCGTTAAGTCCATTCTGCAGTGACAGAAATAATGTCACTATATGCAAGACATCAATCAACAAAATTAGGTGCACCAGCCTTTAATTTATGATGACTTTGATTCATTTTATTAATACATTAAGCACACGCTGTGACTGTGTGCATGTGTATATAGTATTATAAGTGTTTATTAAATACAGTAATCAATGGAATACAGTAAAGGAAACTGCCATTAAGAATAATGGGAATATTCGTCACGAAAAAAATTCACAATGAAAATTATTGAAATAGATAGATATATAGATATAGATATATATATATATATGTTAGCCTATTATTCTATATAATCTTTGACCAAAATTATCAATGTTTTTTAGGACAGTAAAGTAAAATGTTTGAGGTTTTGTCTTGTCACCTTTGATGAATACTGTCTGTAGTTGAAGAGCTGGAAGAGGAGGAATATGGAGCTCGCAGCGATGAGGAGAGTCAACACAAATGTCCTGTTTATTCTAGCCATTAGTCCTACTTCTGACATCTGACACACACAGGAGAATCATATCTGTGCTCATAAAGACACAGCTGAGAGCAGAGGAATGAGAAAAACAAAAATACACACCGGGTGACAAATCTGCATAACGTGATATCAGATTATATCATTTTATTTGACCAAATAACTAGATTCTGCATTCACAGAATTCAAAGTAAAACATGCAGCCAATAATTAATAGCTTCTTATAAACTTACCAGGAGCAGGAAAACGCTGAATATCTGCTTTATCACAATCATTTATACAGTTCTTTATTCTGCCTGTTTTTGCCTCACACTGCGACCGTGCGCCAGGAGGGACATCTCTAAAACGCGTTGCGAAAATAATCTTAAAGGGATAGTTCACCCAAAAATGAAAATTCTGTCATCATTTACTCAGCCTCATGTCGTTCCAAACCTGTACGAGTTGCTTTCTTATGTTGAACACAAAAGAAGATATTTTGAAGATTGCTGGTAATCAAACAGTTGGTGGTTGCCATTGACTTCCACAGTAGGAAAAAAAAAATACTATGGAAGTCAGTGGCTGTTTTTAATGGATGTCAGCAGAGGGGAGACTTAATTAAATGAGAACTTCTGTGTTAATGTTTAGTGTGTTTGTCATTAAATGCTTCTTTTTCAGTAAGCAACATTAGGAGTTTACAACGAAATAAAAAAACATGGAAAATTTTGCCACAAGTAGTGTCCGTTTACGGCACTTCTCATTCATTTCTATGGTATCCGCAAACTGTTATTGACAGTCGTAAAGCGCCGAAAGATATTCAAATTATGTTATTGGTTTATGAGGCACACGTGATCCAATGAGAGAGGTTGGTATCTTCTTACATAGTAAGAGCTCTAGCGTTTCTTCCTAGGGATAAATACATCTTTAGATTATTTTAGCGATTCACTATTAACTTGTCACATACTGAATTAAAGATTTATTTTGTTTATTCGTTTTTCCGTTAAATTATTTCTCCCATCTCATCTGTAGTGACAAAAATAAAAAACTTAAAATCTGACTCTAGATCTATCAAGGATCAGATTCACTAGTCCTTTTTATGGCATTAAAATCTATATTTATTTTCAAAGGTTTACATCCCTGAAAGCGTTAATTACAAACTGGCACATTCATAGTTAAATTGTAACAGTAAGGGTGTCATATATATTTTTGTTAATTAATTTGCCTGTGATCCACTTTAATGCTGTTTGGGGATTACAACACCAGATGGTGCCAGAGGCAGAACAAGTCAACATCGAGTCAAACAGAAGACTTTGGTGAGCTTTAATGTTTGGATTTAAGCTCATTAAGGATTGTTACATAGAAACAGACGGAGGTTTGATTATTAGTTTCTGCACAAATGCATGACAAACTCTTAATTTATTCAAAAAATTAGACCTAAAATGACTTAAACGGAGGATGACACATTTATACAACAAAAATGTACAGTCTACATCCAAAATTATCCAGATATAATAACAGTTTATGACAATGAGGGGACATTAAAAGCAGCTTTTATCATTTTTACACTTGTGCAAAGTTTTCCAGTTTCAAAATCAACAGCTGAAGGATGATCTACAGAGTTCAATATCAGTAAGAGTACAGTTAATGTAAAAAAAAAAGAAAATACCATAGAAAGGATTTAACACACACTACAAGGAACGAAACTAAAACAATATGAGAATCAACTAGTGAAGGACAAACAACTCAAAAAAGCATGTCATCATTCAAACTAAAATCAGTAAAGAAAGTGCACTCAACTATTCCCTGATAAAGCGACTAGCTTTCCTGATGCAAACATCTCCTGATGAAAGCAAGTGTCTGTCAAAGAGAACGAGGCCTCTCTTCATAGGAACATGAAGGGAAACGACTCTCCAAATTCTGCCAGTCAAAGCTGCGGCGATGATCTCTTTGTCCTGGAAGTCTACATGCCTCGGTCATCGGAAGTGTGTCCAGTTTTCAGAATGGTTTCCTGATTAGTTTTTCAGGTGTTTTGAGAAATCGGGTCACGGCATTAGGGAGCTGTCTACTGAAGGCAGTTTATCGTAGAAGCAGATATCACAGGCTACTGAGGGATCCTGCGGAGATATACTGCTGCTCGATCCTCCCAGCCCATTTTCTGTCTTTTGGAAGCTTCTTACTGCACTGGGTATCTGCAGGCCTGTAGACAGAGTCAGACCGCCACACCACACCTGAAATACAAACACAGGCATTCAGGACACTCAGCCAGTCTTCATTTAGCAGACCCTTTTAAAGAGATAGTTCACCTGAAAATGAAAATGTGCTGAAAATCTAATCACCCTCTGGCCATCCAAAATGTAGGTGAGTTTGTTTCTTCATCAGAAATGTAGCATTCCATCACTTTCTCACCAATGGATCCTCTGCAGTGAATGGGTGCCGTCAGAATGAGAGTCCAAACAGCTGATAAATACATCACAATAATCCACATCACTCCAGTCCATCAATTAACATCTTGTGAAGCCAAAAGCTGCGTGTTTGTAATAAAGGAATCCATCATTAAGGCATTTTAACTAAAATACGAGTACATAATCCATAATAATGTTCTCTCCAGTGAAAAAGTTCATCCCCTGTTGTCCTCTCACATCAAAATACAGCTACATGTTAAGTGCTTGATCTGTTCATATTTCTCTCCTGATTCAGATGGGACGACTTTTTAGCTGGAGGAAGCATTATCATGGATTATGGACTCATATTTTAGCTGAAAGCAATGGTTTAAAGTTAAAAACACCTTGATGGACTTATTACAAACACACAGCTTTTCACAAGACGTTGAATTATGTACTGGAGTGGTGTGGATTATCGAGATGTTTTTATCAGCTCTCATTCTGACGGCACCCATTTACTGCAGAGGATCCTCTGGTACTACATTTCTCCAAATCTGTTCCCAGGTAGAAACAAACTCATCTACACCTTGGATGGATATAAAACAAAGGAAGAGTACATTTTCAGCAAAATTCCATTTTTGGGTGAACTATTTCTTTAATATCATTTATAATTTATAAAACACCCCATATAGAGTTAGAACATATCACAATTAGTACATAACCCTAGATCTTTAACCACAAAGAGTACGCTTGGTTTAAGATGACAGCTTGTTTCTTTGTTGATAAGAACAACAAGAATGCAACAACATTTTCAGCCGGGCGATAGTATAAATACAGATCATATAACAACTTTGACATGAGCTGTGCGATAATGTAGTTTACATCTTGCAACAATACAATAATTAAAGCAGTTGAGATTTGCTATGTAATATATTTAACTTTACGTGAGTATACTGCATAAAATTGGACGTTTATATCCAACTTAATATAACGAGCTGGCAGATTTTGTGATGAAATTTTAAAAAAATCAAGCATTTGAGATCTGCTATATAGTATATTTTATTTTAACACTGCAAAACTGGCTGATGTTGATATATTTTGTCAGGCAGAACTTGCGTTTCGAGACAAATGTGTGATCAGTTTCACTGAAGTCTATGGGAAGTGTTTTACATTTGCATGTATTTATTTAGTAGATGCTTTTATCCAAAGCAATTCACCAATGTGAAATATTACAAGCAATTTCTCATAAGAGACAACAATGCACAATGCCAAGTTTACAGTATAAACTAGATTATTAGACAAGCTAGAGCAGACGGGAAATGTGGAAAATAAGAAAGTTATTTCTTTTTAAATTAAATACATTTTATAATTAAATAAAATATTCTTGAAATTTAAGTTCATTTCTTTTTTCATATTCACTTATAATAATACTCAAAAACGTAATGCTTATTTCTGGTTAACAGCATGAAAAATGAACTTCAACAACAACTGAACAACTGAAGGATTAAGGTTTCTGAAGTGCAATCCGTGTGTTTTACTTTCTTTACATATTTTGTCACTTCTTTATTTATAACTTTTAATCATTTATTAATTTATGTAATTTAATGAAGTGATTCTGTTGAGTGAGTGATTTAATTAATCATTCATAAAGACAGTCACAACTGGTGTAACAAATGCCTTTTGAATTAGGAGCCACAACCACATTTAAATGTAAGAGTGAAGCCCTTAAATTATGGTTCAGTTTGTTCAGGTATTTAGTGCTGTGAAGAAGACTCTTTAATCTTTTGACAAAGAAACATTAGCAACAATCAAACACAACCAAAGATGTATTATGTCTGGCAATTCCCAAAGTACCACACTACCAGTACTATAGTCATAAAGCAGCTGCAGTAACGCTTTATTTTACTCTACGGTGTCTTTGTTATACATGTTAAATGTACTTACAGTAAATTATGCATAATTAACTAACTCTAAACCAAACCCTAATCCTATAGTAAGAATGACGTCATTACTTAAAGTGCCCCTATTATGGGTAATGAAAGGTTCATATTTTGGTTTTGGGAGTCCCCAACAACAGGTTGACATGCATGCAAGGTCAAAAAACACTTTCATTGTCTTATAATATGCATTTATTTTGACCTTACTTACCTTACCTGACGTCAACATGAAACGCTTGGGATTCGTTTTAAAGGGGTCATATGATGCGATTTAAATTTTTCCTTTCTCTTTGGAATATTACAAGCTCTTGGTGCATAAAGATTCAAACGCGAGTTTTGGGCAGTGTAGAGTAGCACTTGTTGTTTGTCATTTCTCCGATCACAAATGCAGACAGGGTTTTATGTTTACGCGGCGCGGCGCGGCGCGATGCAACGCAACGCGTAAAAAGACAGTATAAGTCATTATAATCAGTGATTATGTCCCCACTGGATGCAACAAATGCTTCGTTTGTAATGGGTTTTAATGTTTATGTCTCGTAGCTCCTGCCGGACACGGCATCAACAGTATGGTGAGGGGCGTAACATTTCCGTCATACGCTTGAGGTATTCGGCCAATCACAATGCACTGGATAGCTGGCCAATCACAGCACACTGTGCTTTTCAGAACGATGAGCTTTGTAAAAATCGATGCGTTTCAGAAAGGCGGGGCATAGAGGAGAAACAATAATGTACAGTATGTGGAAAATAATGTTTTTTTAAACTTTAAACCGCATAAACACATTTCATTACACCAAATACACAAAATAATGTTCTTTATAGCAGCATCATATGACCCCTTTAAAAACAACCCGTTTCAATGATTCAGAGTCGACTCTTTCTTTTGAGAGACAATAACTTTATACACGGTGCACTTTCAGATTTAAAACTTTGCAGGAAGTTCTCATTCACTTAGTTAGAGCTGTGTTACACACAGCATGAAAGGTCATTTTCAAAAATCCATAATAGGGGCACTTTAATTGTATAATTACACTGTA